CTGGCCTTGTTTTTGCTGCTGCAATTGTGATCAACTTGCCCCTCATCTGACCTCTGTGAACCTTGGTTTCTTCATCTGTAGGATGGGGATAATGATGTCCACCTTCCAGCATCCTGGCAAGGGTTAGGAACGACGGGGTGAGGGGCCTGGCCAGTCCTGACTGTTCGCTTTAGAAGTGGGTTCACCAGCCATGGCAAAGTGGGCACGTGGCCGTGGCTGGCTGGCACGCCCCTTCCCTGGGCTCCTACACATCTGCTCACTCTCAGCCCCAGGAGGCGGGGAGGGTACCCACTTCACGGAGGAGGAAACTGAGGCCTAGAGAGGGAAAGACAGTCTGTGCTTAAGGAGGGCGCCCGGAACCAGCCCAGGAACCCCAGGGGCCCAGCAATGCCTCCCCTGGGAAGGGGAGGAGGGAGGAGGGGGACATCTAAGCCCATGCTTGGTAGGATGCAGTGGAGGCTGCCGTGCTGGTCGTGCTGAGCACCCTCTGTGCACGGCTCAGGCACAAGAGCAAGAAAAAAGCCTTCACCAAGGCCTGCAAGAGGTGGCGTGATGCCGATGGCAAGAAGCAGCTGCAGAGGGACTTTGCTGCCATGAAAAAGTACTGCAAGGTCATCCGGGTCATCGTCCACACCCAGGTCAGCCCCTACCCCCTGGTCCACACTGGTCAGCCAGTCCACCACCTGGGCCCAACCTCCCTCAGCCTGGCTTTCCGGAGCCCTGGCAAATGTCAGCCTAAAAATACTGCGAGCCTCGGGCATAGGCCCAAAGTGTCGGCTGACCAGCCAGCCGCCTGCAGCCCCGGGTATGAGATGTTGGGCATCAGTGCACTCTGAGGGCTGCAGGGTACTGGCCACACCCAGCAGTCAACCAAGGCCCTGAAATGCCACAAAGGTCCAGGATCACCTGCCCAGTGTTGGGTGTGGGGGTCTGGCCGCCTCTGTTTGGGGTCTGGCACATGTGGGTGTGAATCAACATTCGTAAGTGGGGTCTGGCTTCGTGTGGGTTGACAGGTTACCTATACCCTCTGGCTTTTTCTGGAACATTCAGGGAAGCCTTCCCAGGCCCGGAGCAATGACCCTCCCCACCTGCCTGAGTTACTCTCACACTTGCAGTTCCTGGTTACGTGTGTCATTGGTTAACATCCATCTCCCTCCATAGACTTCAGCTCCATGGGGGCAGGGGTCACAGCTTCCTGCTCACTGCTGTACCACACCCCCCAGGAGGCTTATATGCAACAGGTCCTCCATCAGTACTGGTTGAGCCCTATGCTGTGACCTAACCGTGTCCCTGCTTCCACCTCACACAGCAGCAGCCAGAGATGTTTAAAAATGTGCATCAGATCATGTCACACCCTGCACTTGGAATAAAGCCCAAGCTACTCCCTATGAGATCTGCCTGGCCAGGCCCCTGCTCACCTATCACCGTCCTGAACCCTCCTCCCTGTTCACCACAGTCCAGACACACTGGTCCCGTTTCTGTCCCACCAACCACTGCCCCCCCATCTTCCTTGCCACAAGGCCTTTGCATATGCGGTTCCCTCTGCCCCAAAAGCTCTCAGATCTTCACCTAGTGGTTCCTTCTTGCCATTGATGTCACCTCCTCAGAGAGGCCCTCCTTCACCACCCTCATGTGCAATAACTGTCCCCTCCACCCTCAATATTTCATCACAACACTTAGGCCTATCCAAGAGTTTACTTGGTTTCTGCCACCCAACTAGATGGTGGCTCCATGGGGGCCAGGACGCTGTCTGCCTCATTCCATGCTGCATCCCCAGTGCCTCGCACAGAACGTGGCATATAGGCACACCAGAGCATGGGATCATCTGTTGAATGAATGCGTGCATGAAAGTCTGCCAGGGATCACCAGCTGGCCATGTCATGTCGGCAAACGGGGGTGTGTGTGACTTTCTGGGAACCGACTGGCCATGCCATGTCTTACAGATGAAGCTGCTGCCCTTCCGGCAGAAGAAGGCCCACATCATGGAGATCCAGCTGAATGGCGGCACGGTGGCTGAGAAGGTGGCCTGGGCCCAGGCCCGGCTGGAGAAGCAGGTGCCAGTGCACAGTGTGTTCAGCCAGAGTGAGGTCATTGATGTCATTGCCGTCACCAAGGGCAGGGGCATCAAAGGTAGGGCCGGGTGGGGATGGCGGCTCCAGGAAGGCTGCCTGGAGGAGGTGGGGGCCAAACTGGCCTCTAAGCTACCTGCCCCTCCCACCTGCAGGGGTCACGAGCCGCTGGCATACCAAGAAGCTGCCGAGGAAGACCCATAAGGGGCTGCGCAAGGTGGCCTGCATTGGTGCCTGGCACCCTGCCCGCGTGGGCTGCTCCATCGCCCGGGCTGGGCAGAAGGGCTACCATCACCGCACAGAACTCAACAAGAAGGTGTGTCCACAGGCCTGGTTTGAGAGGGGATGCCCGTGACCACACCCCAGTGAGTGGGGTGCATGACCCAGATGCTGCCTGGCCCCCTAAGGCTCTGAAATGCCCCCACCAGCGCCTGGGTTTAAGCCCGCATTCTGATGGGTGTGGGCATCTTGCCAGTCCCAGAGGCTACCTGCTGTCCCCAATGTGCCCTGTGCTCCTGGCAGATCTACCGCATCGGCCGGGGGCTGCACACAGAGGACGGGAAGGTGGTTAAGAACAATGCATCCACCAGCTACGATGTGACCGACAAATCCATCACACCACTGGTGAGGGGTTTGGCTGAGGGGCCTGGTGTGCATGTGTGGGGCAGGCCTGTGGGGTGCTGCCCTCCCCCAAGAGCTCAGGCACCAAGGTGGACCACCTGGGTGGACCAAACCCCTGCTGTTTCTGCATCCTCAGAGCCACCACTGCAGACAGCTCATCCTCCAGCTGCTGTCACAGGGTGCGGAGTGCAGCAGCTCCGACTGTGGCCTTGGAGTCAGGCTGCCTGGGCTCAAACCCCAGCTGCAGTGTGTAGCAGCTGCGGGGCCTGGAGCAAGTGACTTCACCCCTCTGAGCCTCAGTTTCCCCCTCTGTAAAATGCAGATTTTTAAATAAGATAATCACGGGAAGGACTTAGGGTGTGGCTCAGATGCTGCCCTGATTAGTGATTGAGAATGTCACCCTAGGCCAGGGGAGTTCTCCTAGGGCCCCCAGCTGCCTCCTAACCCAGCAGCCCCTTTCCTGGACCCACCTTCCCACAGGGTGGCTTCCCCCACTACGGGGAAGTCAACAATGACTTCATCATGCTGAAAGGTTGCATCGCGGGCACCAAGAAGAGGGTCATCACGCTGAGGAAGGTCAGTGCCAGGTGGTGAGCTGGGGAGTGGGAGCCCCATGGGCCTTGGGGGAGTTGGGGGGCTGGCCTACCCTGTCCTCCAGCCTGCTTCAGGAGGGGTGGGGATGGGGAAAGCAAAGAGGGAGAGGTTCTAACAGAATCTGGGTGAGTGAGACCTTCCTGACTGGGGGTAATGGGAGGGGCTGAGTGGGGACCTCCCATGGTGACAGCTCTCCTCTCCCACCGGCCGCAGTCACTCCTTGTGCACCACAGCCGCAGGGCCCTGGAGAACATCGAGCTCAAGTTCATTGACACCACCTCCAAGTTTGGCCATGGCCGCTTCCAGACAGCCCAAGAGAAGAGGGTCTTCATGGTGAGCCCACCAGCCTTGCTCTCTGGGGCTCCGACACCACATCCTACCTGCCCCACAGCCGGGAAGCTGAGCAGATGGGGGTGGCACGCATGTCCCTGCACTCATCCACAGGAGGGGGCTTTTAGGGGTCCAGTCCTGGGCACTGATTCTTGCCAGAAAGGAAGTAGGGGAGGAACCAGTGGGAGAGGGCACAGGGCCGACTCCGCGTAACCCAGGCGGCTGGTTAGACCCCTGTGACTAACGCTCCTCCTGTTCCTCGCCCACCAGGGTCCCCAGAAGAAGCATCTTGAGAAGGAAAAGCCGGAAACCTCGGGAGACTTGTAGGCAGGATGGGATGGAGGGAGCCTGAAAGAAGCGCGGCGCAACCCCCGCCTGTCCCCTTGTCTAATAAAAGCCAGAGACAACTCTTCCCGCGGTGTCTCAGAGTTGAGGGGCACGGAAAGGCTGGTCAACGGCCGGCAGCCCGGGGCTTAAGCGCCGGGAAACGACGAGAGCGTACGCGGCTCATTGTGCACCGCGGCAGCCACCCCAAACCCAGCGCAGCTCAGCGGCCCGCCCTGTAGCTAGGGGCAGGGGGGCAGGGGCGGGGCCGCGGGGATCGCTCAGGACTGGCCCTTAGTGGTGGGCGGGGCCTGCAGGAAGACGGAGGGGGCAGGTCCTCGGGAGGCGGCGAGGCCTCCTGGAGGCGGAAGCCGGAACCCTAGTCCCGGGGTGGGATTGGTCCGTGGAAAGGGTGGGTCAACGGAAGGCGGGCCCTGAGAGGGTGTCTCGCACCTCTGGACGTGATTGGTCCCCTTGGGGGGCGGGGCCTCGGGCGCCGGGGCAGGTCCGGGATCCGAGTGGGATTGGTTCTCGGGAGGCGGGGCAGGAGGCGGGCACAAGCACCAGGTCTTAGGTCTGTGGCCTCGGATCTGTTGGAGGCGGCGATCGTGCAGCGGTCCCGCCGGCGCCATGTCGTTCTGCAGCTTCTTCGGGGGCGAGGTTTTCCAGAACCACTTTGAGCCTGGTACGACCTGTGACCTCCTGGAGGACAGCGGGGGTGGGGACGCGTATTAGAGGGGGCGTCGCAGCCCTCCGGGTGGCGATAGAGCCCCGGAGTCCCGGGAACGGGGGCCGAGTGTGACCGCGCGGGGAGGAACGCATGTGGGTAAAGGGGATACAGAGGAGGGAGGAATTGGGGGTTCCGGAGAGTAGGGGTACTTGAGGGGAGAGGGCCATTGGAGAGAGGGTATCGCTGTCCTCGAGGAGGACAGACCTTGAGTGTGAGCGTGGCCTTTTCCGAGGAAATCTGCGGGGTCAAGGTATGGGGGTGGTGACGCCGTTGCGGGTATCCGGGTCAGGATCGGAACTTTAGGGGGAGGCGGTGGAAGGTCTTGTCCAGGGGCGGCTTCTGTGACTGGCCTGCCTCTCCTTGGGGCATCCTCCTGATATTACCCCAGCTCTTTCTTCTCCCCGGTTCCCCAGACCTGCGGGGTAAGCTGGAAAGCACGTCTTGTTGGGATCCAAATGTGACCGCCTGGGTGCCTCCCCTACCTGCCCAGGGCCCCAGGTTTGGGTAACGAGGAGTGCTGCCAGGCTGCCAATGGCCAGTGAAGTTTGACTGGATAGCCTGGGTCAGGTAGGAGGGGTGGAAGGTAGGGGGTGAGTGGTTGGTTTGGGGGCATGGCCGGCAGTCAGCCCTGGCCCCAGGCTTTGAGAGGCCCAGATGAATCCCCTTCTGGGCTGTGCTGCCTGGTCATGGACTAATTTGGTAAAAATATGTCCACAGGCAAGACTAGGGCAGCGACCTACCCCTGGGTGGGATTTGTTGGGTGTCAGCCCTCGAGGGAGCTGAGATGTGACACCCTGGTCTCTGTGAGCCAGCTGTGACATAGGACCCTCTGGGCAAAGTCCTCCCTTCAGACTCTCTGGCTGTGGGACTCCGGGTTGTCCTCAGGCTACTCTGCCAAGCTGGAAACTCCACTCCCACAGCAGCTCCTGTTTCCTCTTTTCTTCCTCAAGTTACTGGTAAAGGCTGAGTAGGCCACAGAATCCAGGGCAGGCTGTCTCCAGGCCAGGCAGGGGGCGAAGGGTGACTCAGTACCCCTCGAGGGACCCCCAAGCAGTTTCCTGTTCTGCGAGTCAGTTTTGCAACCTTTCTTTTTCCCCCTTCAGGGTGATCTTTTGGAGGTAGGTTAAAACTCATCCTTCTCCCTGGTGCTCTGTCTTCCTGGGCCCTCTGTCTGACTGGAGGTCTTTTGCTGGGATCAGTCTTTTCCTGCTTGGAGAGCAGGCTGGTGTCTGGGCATCCACCTTACGGCTTCTTTGGGCAGAGGGAGGTCCACGTGGGAAGGGAGGGGGGCTAGTGGTGGTGCTGACCATGCCACAGCCCCCACCGTGTGGGGCCTGCTTGTGTGTGAGGGGCAGAGCTGTGTCCTCATCAGACTGCCTGGGTTCCTTCCTGGCTGCACACCCTGTAGCTGAGCATTTTGCATCCCTGAGCCTCAGCTTCCTCATCTGTAAAATGGGAACATCTGCATTACAGGGCTGTTAAGAACAGTGAAAGAAATAATTGTGAAAAGTGGCTCTCCTGGTCTCTGGCACAGGCTCAGAACTGCTAAATGTGAGCTCCATGCTGTGTCTCCACCACAGAGCCGATACCCAGGCTTATGGGTGGTGGGTGGGTGAGTGGGGAGGGTGTGCAGCCCACCCTGTAACCGGAGTGCTGCTGTCCTCTCCTGGGTTCAAGGATTTAGGTGCTCACCCCCGAGGCGCTGGAGCCAGCATCTCTGCTCTTACCTCCCCTTCCGCCCCAGGCATCTACGTGTGTGCCCAATGTGGCTATGAGCTGTTTTCCAGCCGCTCAAAGTACGCACACTCATCCCCGTGGCCGGCCTTCACCGAGACCATCCATGCTGACAGTGTGGCCAAGCGTCCAGAGCACAGTCAGCCTGGAGCCTTAAAGGTGGGTGGTAGCAACTGGGGGGCAGTGAGGAGGTGTCAGCCAGGGGGGTCCTGAGAGCCCCCCACCACTTCCTGCTGTTCCCCCTACAGCTGTAGGGGCCTAGGGTCTGTCTATTCCAGGCCTCTGGCTTCAGCCAGGGGAGCTGACACCCCAAACTATTGGGAGAGCCTGGGGTCCTGGTGGGAACATGGAAACAAGATGGTTTTCCGGGGCAGGTTCTGGGCCAAGGCCAACCTCTCATGCCAGCAGTTACCTTGGGAAATAGGCATGGGGAGGACCCCATGTGCTGGTGGCAGCAGGGGCCATGGCTGCAGCTGTTTTCATGGCTGTCTTGTGGTATTCCCAGGTGTCCTGTGGCAGGTGTGGCAATGGGCTGGGCCATGAGTTCCTGAACGATGGTCCCAAGCGTGGACAGTCCCGCTTCTGAATATTCAGCAGCTCACTGAAGTTCATCCCTAAAGGTGAGCTTGCCTGCCGGCAGCTGGGCACAGGCCTATGTACAGGCCTTTAGAGGCCCAGGGGCACACTGTTCTCATGCACTTACAGTGACAAAGCACGGGGGCACCAAAGCGTGCTGCCCGGGGCCACTGGAAGGTGGCTGCGGGGCAGGGACAAAGGGCAGATATCCTGCCTCCTGCATCTGGTTGATTGCGTGCAGGGCGGTGCAGAGGTTGAGTTCTGGGGCTGTGCAGCTGCAGGCTGGCTCACCAGCCTCCTCATCTTCTGTGTAGTGGGCGTGATGGCAGAGCCTCCTTTATAGACCCGTTAAGACTGACTGCATGAAAGTGCACTGGGGTCTGGAGTGTAGTAGGGTCTCAGTAAATATGTGCTCCTGTTGGCAATATTCTTATCACTGGTAGATTGTTTGGGAGCCGTTTTTCATTTGTGTGTGTTTTATCTGAGCTCAGCCTCCTCTGACCCATTGCTTTCTGTCTGCATCCCCAGCCACCCTCTGGACTCCTTCGCACTCTGTAGCTCAAATCCCTCTCCTCATTTGCTGCCTGCAAGACTGCAGCCAGTCCCTAGTCTCAGTTTTATCCTCTGTAAAATGGGGTTGCTAACAGCACCTGCTCGCTGCCCTCACTGTGGGGTTAAGTGAGGCTGTCTGTGAGGGCCGGTGCGTGATAAAGGTTTGATAATACTTTTGTCCTTTTGTAGCTATTTGTCCTCCAGTACGTGTGGAGGAAAGACAGACTCTGGGTTCTCCTGCAGATCTCAGGGAAAGAACTGGGCACAGAAACACCCCCCGGCTGCGGGTCTGGGTCCTCCCAGCTCTCTTGGTCTGCAGGCTGCAGTGGGAGTGGGCTGGGCCAGGGAACGGTGTCTGAAACCTGAGTTAGCAGCGACTTGTTTTTCTCTCCCCTCCTTCATTTCTTTCAGGCAAAGAAACTTCTGCCTCCCAGGGACAGTAGGTGGGCAGCCCACACGCAACCCAGATGGACACTGCTTTGTGGCCACACTCTGGACATCCCACCTTAGAAGTGGAACCCCAGACATTTGGACAGGGGAGCGGGGGGAGAGAGGTAGCTGAAACATCAGGAAGGTTCCCGAGGCCTTGCCTCCGAACAGGATAGGAGAAGGGAAGAGGCTGGGAAAAGGAGAAGGCTACACTAGGCTGCCAGGGGGTGCCTGGAGGCCCCACTGTCGGCTCTCACAGGAGTCTCAGGGAGGGGGCTCTAGGCCTGGCTCGTCTTAGAGTGGTGGTGCAGCCTCTACCTTCTCTCCACAGCCCGCTGCCCCCTCCCTGCCTGTTTGGACTCACCCTGATGAGGCCCAGTTCTGAGATGGGCTCTGGCCCTCACCGAAGCTCTTGCCTGTCTCCAGCATGCTGTGCTAGGAGAGAGAACGCAAACAGGGGCGGCTCCAGTTGGCTGCTCCAGCCCTGGTCACTCTATGATTCTCTCTGACTAAACCCTTCCAGGCAGCCAGAGTGGTGATGATCTGTGACCTGCTGGGGGAGCAGACAGAGGGGACAGATCTCTGGCCTCTCGGTTATGAAAGGAGAAATCCCGAACCCTGTTGCACCATCTGTGTGGATGCTGCTTGCCCCACTCAGGCTTAGGAAAGCAGCTATTGCTCCATCACCTTGACTGTGCAAGGCTGGGGACACCGGAGCTCACAGCCTACAGTTCACCGCTTCCGGGGACACAGTGACTGTGCCTCACTGCACATGCTCTGAGGGTCCTGCCATCAGGGAGGGTGGGCGAAGCCCCTTCCATCTTGAATTCTCTTTGGAGTAATCAGGAAGAGATCAATAAACAAACAGAACCCAGGCTTGCTGTCTTTATTAACAACATCAGGGACTCCAGGACCCAGGGTCAGGCTTTGCACAGCTGTTTCACTTGTTCCACAAATAGTTATTGAGCTCAGTGTCAGGCTGTAGCTTCAGTGCTAGGGATGCAGCCATGAGAAAGGCAGACGGGGCCTGCCCTTAAGGTCTTTTTTTTTTTTAATTTTTAAATTAAATTTATTTTTTTATACAGCAGGTTCTTATTAGTCATCAATTTTATACACATCAGTGTATACATGTTAATCCCAATCACCCAATTCATCACGCCACCACCACCACCCCCTGCCGTTTTCCCCCCTTGGTATCCATACGTTTGTTCTCTGTATCTGTGTCTCTGTTTCTGTTCCGCAAACTGGTTCATCTGTACCATTTTTCTAGGTTCCACATATATGCGTTAATATACGATATTTGTTTTTCTCTTTCTGACTTACTTTACTCTGTATGACAGTCTCTAGATCCATCCATGTCTCAACAAATGACCCAATTTTGTTCCTTTTTATGGCTGAGTAATATTCCATTGTATATATTTACCACATCTTCTTTATCCATTTGTCTGTTGATGGGCATTTAGGTTGCTTCCATGACCTGGCTATTGTAAATAGTGCTACAATGAACATTGGTGTGCATGTGTCTTTTTGAATTACGGTTTTCTCTGGGTATATGCCCAGTAGTGGGATTGCTGGATCATATGGTAATTCTGTTTTTAGTTTTTTAAGGAACCTCCATACTGTTCTCCATAGTGGCTATATCAATTTACATTCCCACCAACAGTGCAAGAGGGTTTCCTTTTCTCCACACCCTCTCCAGCATTTGTTGCTTGTAGATTTTCTGATGATGCCCATTTTAACTGCTGTGAGGTGATACCTCATTGTAGTTTTGATTTGCATTTCACTAATAGTGATGTTGAGCAGCTTTTCATGTGCTTCTTGGCCATCTGTATGTCTTCTTTGGAGAAATGTCTATTTAGGTCTTCTGCCCATTTTTGGATTGGTTGTTTGTTTTTTTAATATTGAGCTTCATGAGCTGTTTATATATTTTGGAGATTAATCCTTTGTCCGTTGATTCATTTTCAAATATTTTCTCCCATCCTGAGGGTTGTCTTTTTGTCTTCTTTATGGTTTCCTTTGCTGTGCAAAAGCTTTGACGTTTCATTAGGTCCCATTTGTTTATTTTTGTTTTTATTTCCATTACTTTAGGAGGTGGATCAAAAGTGTGATTTATGTCAAAGAGTGTTCTTCCTATGTTTTCCTCTAAGAGTTTTATAGTGTCCGGTCTTACATTTAGGTCTCTATTCCTCCAGGTCTGTTTTCTTCCCTCAAGACTGCTTTGGCTATTCGGGGTCTTTTGTGTCTCCATACAAATTTTAAGATTTTTTGTTCTAGTTCTGTAAAAAATGCCATTGGTAATTTGTTAGGGATTGCATTGAATCTGTAGATTGCTTTGGGTAGTATAGTCATTTTAACAATATTGATTCTTCCAATCCAAGAACATGGTATATCTCTCCATCTGTTTGTATCATCTTTAATTTCTTTCATCAGTGTCTTATAGTTTTCTGCATACAGATCTTTTGTCTCCCCTAGGTAGGTTTATTCCTAGGTATTTTATTCTTTTTGTTGCATTGGTAAATGGGAGTGTTTCCTTAATTTCTCTTTCAGATTTTTCATCATTAGTGTATAGGAATGCAAGAGATTTCTGTGCATTAATTTTGTATCCTACAGCTTTACCAAATTCATTGATTAGCTCTAGTAGTTTTCTGGTGGCGTCTTTAGGATTCTCTGTATATAGTATCATGTCATCTGCAAATAATGACAGTTTTACTTTTTCTTTTCCAATTTGTATTCCTTTTATTTCTTTTTCTTCTCTGATTGCCGTGGCTAGGACTTCCAAAACTATGTTGAATAATAGTGGTGAGAGTGGACATCCTTGTCTTGTTCCTGATCTTAGAGGAAATGCTTTCAGTTTTTCACCATTGAGAATGATGTTTGTTGTGGGTTTGTCATATATGGCCTTTATTTTGTTGAGGTAGGTTCCCTCTATGCCTACTTTCTGGAGAGTTTTTATCATAAATGGGTGTTGAATTTTGCCAAAGGCTTTTTCTGCATCTACTGAGATGATCATATGGTTTTTATTCTTCAATTTGTTAATATGGTGTATCACATTGATTGATTTGCGTATATTGAAGAATCCTTGCATCCCTGGGATAAATCCCACTTGATCATGGTGTATGATCCTTTTAATGTGTTGTTGGATTCTGTTTGCTAGTATTTTGTTGAGGATTTTTTTTTTTCCGGTGCGCGTGCCTCTCACTGTTGTGGCCTCTCCCGCTGCGGAGCACAGGCTCCAGACGCGCAGGCTCAGCGGCCATGGCTCACGGGCCCAGCCGCTCCGCGGCATGTGGGATCTTCCCGGACCGGGGCACGAACCCGTGTCCCCTGCATCGGCAGGCGGACTCTCAACCACTGCCCCACCAGGGAAGCCCCTGTTGAGGATTTTTGCATCTATATTCATCAATGATATTGGTCTGTAATTTTCCTTTTTTGTAGTATCTTTGTCTGGTTTTGGTATCAGGGTGATGGTGGCTTATAGAATGAGTTTGGGAGTGTTCCTTCCACTGCAGTTTTTTGGAAGAGTTTGAGAAGGATGGGTGTTAGCTTTTCTCTAAATGTTTGATAGAATTCACCTGTGAAGCCATCTGGTCCTGGACTTTTTTTTGTTGGAAGATTTTAAATCACAGTTTCAATTTCATTACTTGTGATTGGTCTGTTCATATTTTCTATTTCTTCCTGGTTCAGTCTTGGAAGGTTATACTTTTCTAAGAATTTGTCCATTTCTTCCAGGTTGTCCATTTTATTGGCATAGAGCTGCTTGTAGTAGTCTCTTAGGATGCTTTATATTTCTGCGGTGTCTGTTGTAACTTCTCCTTTTTTATTTCTAATTTTATTGATTTGAGTCCTCTCCCTCTTTTTCTTGATGAGTCTGGCTGATGGTTTATCCATTTTGTTTATCTTCTCAAAGAACCAGCTTTTAGTTTTATTAATCTTTGCTATTATTTTCTTTGTTTCTATTTCATTTATTTCTGCTCTGATCTTTATGATTTCTTTCCTTCTGCTA